GAGACATTTTTATGGTTTAAATTATGATGGATTAATTTAATGGTTTTTAAACTTGTTCAACTACGCGTACACAAATATTACAACATTTTGTCTATTGCCAAATTAATTTCGAATTCTTCTTTTATTATAAAATTGAGCTGTTTCTCAAATTTTACAAATCCACAAACGGCTGTGATAAATTTAACAAATCCTTTTCCGCGTAACACTTTTGGTATATCTTTATAAAGGGAAGTCTCCTTTTTACAATGTCCTATAAAAAGTAGATTCGCCATTTCATGTTGCAGCTTTATCGTACTTTAAGCAAAAAGAGTGCCATACTGTTTATCTTTGTTCATCTATGCTGCAATTCGCCGCTAAAATTATTCCCACGTATGAGCCGTTTATTTTGACAGTGGCATAAGTCACTTTGTTTTTAAGTCGATATATTTAAGGATTTGCGTTTTACTTGTATTTGTTAGGATACTGATATTTTTCTCAGTATAAGTAATTTGGTATAAACATTAAAAAATCACTACTTTTCATTACGGTAAAGTGACTTATGCCACTTTCAAAATAAACGGCTCATATAGTAATGTCTCCCTAACTGACGCTCAGATTGTGCACAAAAATGGACAATTTGGAAAGAGGAGATACGTTTATTCGAGCCTTGCAGCTCGTTTTTATAGTTGTTGACAATTCGTAACTATAAAAATGAACCGCAAGGATCATATCTCCTCTTCCTAAATTGTTCATTTTTATGGACAATCTAAGCAATCTGAGTCAATTAGAGAGACATTACTGTACACAGCTATCCGTCTTCGATTTCTCTTAAAAACAAACTCCCGCTACATGTATGTATATACAGGGTAGTCTAGAAAGAATTAGCTCTTGAATATTTCTCTCATTTTTGGAGATATAAAGCAACTTTATTGATAGAAGTATTTCAGTCAACGAAGCTGCTTCGACTAATATATGAAAAAACGTGGTTCTAAAAAGACGAAGGTGCTCTTAAATTCTTCGAAACGTCTCCAGCTGCAAGAGAATCGTTACCATCAAATTATAGATTTCTCTATGCTGAAATATTTACGTCACAAAGTTCGAGCTAATTCTTAGCGGACCAATCTGTGTATATGTATAATAACTTGCTAGTATTGCAGCTGTAGAATATAATCGGTGACCCGTTTTAGGCGAAACACCGTATAGATCATATATGCCAATGAGTATTACGCTTTGAGTAGCATACTTCGATACTACCCTTGACACGAACGGCTTTATTGGAGGACAATGGCCAACGGTATTAAAGAAACATGACCCTTTACCTCCGTTTATAGGACAAATTCGTTGGTGCAGAGGAATCAATAATTTATAGACACATTTAATAATCGTTCGATCGCAAACACCGTAGAACGTCGATTATCGAAACGCTGATCAAAGAACAATATATCTGTACGTTATGTCTACTAATTTTAAATTCGCCAAAATTGTTTCTTTCAGAATGTTAATTTTGAAATTAAAGACTCCTAGTAACGAACACGAACTAACCGATGAAAATGAAAAGAAAAATGGATATCCGATTCAAAAGGGTGTCGTGAGAAAGAAAGAGTCCATCAAAATAAACAAATTAAATAGTATAATTGTGTATAGTATGTAATATAATATATATAGTTATTACTATAATATATATAATTACTATAATTGTGTATAGTATATTGTGTATTCTGCTTCGAGCGATCTAGAAAATCAGGATTCTGCTGCATCACGTACTGTCTGGTTGCATGATTCCGATGATAGCAAATGGGTAGCTATCGTGGTTGCGCGTCAAACAGAAGAACACGGTTCTGATGTACAACACTGGATGACATCGGCTGCGAAACAATGCGATTCCTTGCACAATACTGGCGCAAGAACATGGATTCTTGCTCGTCCCGCAATAACACTCGCGTGACTGTTTCGATTCATGTCGGCCGACCGGCAGCGAGCGTTATCTGGGCCATGGAAATTACTTTTGGTAATTTGACAGTGGTTGAATAATTTTCCATATAAAGATTGAATCGATCATTGAATAGAATTTGAAACACGCTCCCCTGGATCGATAGCCCGAACCATCGTCGACTATAATTCCTTGCATTAAATTCTCGTAGAATTCATCGGAAACCGGCTCCGAGATAATCATATTGGTCTGGAATTTGAATAAAAGATGAAGAACCTTTCTTAAGGAAGAATAAAACATTTATAATCTGCTTTTATAATAAACGCGATTTTCTTCAGCTTAATGCGACGCTAATGCAATCTTACCGACGGTAGTTACTAATAACCTGTAGTTGGAACACTTTCGTTATTCACAGTAGTAATACATTTTTTCGTCTTTTTTTCTACCGATTCGATTTTGTTGTTCACAGTAGTAATACATTTTTCCATTTAATATATTTTTTTTCCACTGATTCGATGAGCTCTAATTGAGCGCCGTTTATTTTGAAAGTGGCATAAGTCACTTTTTTTTTTAATGGAAAGATACCGTTCAATTGTAATTAGTGTTACCATTAACTCGATTTTTTTGAAAAAGTGACTTATGCCACTTTCAAAATAAACGGCACAATTGTTAGAGCTACAGTTCGAGAAATATATTTTTCTGTCCATACGAGGGATAACGTTGCTTAGAATCTTGCAACGTACATTACATTATACACATCTTATGTGTATCAAATTGTAAGAACTTAAGTTTTCAATAAAAAAGATAGACACAGCATTTTTACTTTTCTATAACGCTCGTATAGCGTGCGAATTCCGTTTCGGCGACGTCTTTGAGACTACATTCATATTTTGGTAGATTAAAAAACGCATACATCGTCTTTCTGAACGCGACAGATCATCGACCGTCGAAAGCCGAAAGCTGAGAAATTCGAGAAAACTTCCGATTACCCGGACTAAAAATGATCCACATTCCATCTTCGAAGAGTCCAAACGGACACGAGAAATTTGATTTCAATCTCCCGGAAAGGAATTTAAAACAGCCTCCGGCATGAAACATTCCTCCCGCTTCGCATGAACGCAGTCGCCGACGTCACTGCAAGATGTTCTCCATTTTTTTGTTCGTCCTTTGATGCATGGAATGAAGAATTCTATTCTTGCGTCACGACGACGACGACGACGACGACGACGACTATACTTATGTAGGTTCCTAATGATGAACGAAAGGAGAACGCGGACAGATAAGTTGCTGGACGTCGACAGAAAATATGAAAAGAACATGCAAGAATCACGGAGCAAATGGTGAGGGAAAATAGTCATACGCATGAACAATGGTATAATAAACGGAGAAACGAGTCAGGCATTCCTTTCTGGTCGAAGCAAGGGAATTACAGTAATGTCTCCGTAACTGACGCTCGAATTGTGCAGAAAAATGGACAATTTTGGAAGAGAAGATACGATTGTTCGAGTTTTGCAGCTCGTTTTTATAGTTGTTGACAATTCGCGACTATAAAAATGAACCGCAAGACTCGAACAATCGTGTCTCCTCTTCTCAAATTGTCCATTTTTCTGCACAATTTGGGCGTCAATTAGAGAGACATTACTGTACACGGTAAAATCAGCTCGTAAATTCTATTAGTAACGCTACAAATATTTTTTTTTGGTGCATAGATAAACCGGAACCAAAGCATAATTCGTAGAAAATCGTAGATGGAATCGTAATCCATTGAATTTAAATCATAATTCACAGTTCAATGATTCTATCGATAATGCTCCAAGTACCTTTCTTTTCCAAGATGCATAACTAGACCAAACACAACGCATAATTACCGAACACGCACGCAATAAACGCGAGTACAGTAATGTCTCCCTAATTGACGCTCAGATTGCGCCCAGAAATGGACAATTTGGGAAGAGGAGATACGATTGTTCGAGCCTTGCAGCTCGTTTTTAGAATTGTTGACAATTCGTATTGTATAAAATTTTCGTATTTTATTGTAAAAAAAAAATGTAAAAATAAAATGTGTAATGTAAAAATTCGTATTGTATAAATTTTAAAATACAATTTTATATAAAATTGTCCATTTTCCTGCAGAATCTGAGCGTCAGTTAGGGAGACGTCACTGTACAGTAAATTCTCTCTAATCGACGCTCAACTTATACACAAAAATACACAATTTGAGAAGTGGAGATACGATTATTCGAGACTCCATGCGGCTCGTTGTTATAGTTACCGATTGTCAACAACTATAAGAACGAGCCGCGAGACTGGAATAATCGTATCCCCTCTTCCCAAATTGTCCATTAGTGCGCAATCTGAGCGCGAATTAAGGAGAAACGTATAACATCATGTATTCTTCTTCCTCTTCTTCCTGATAATTTTACAATTTCCAGGCAACAGGAACGCGAAAATTTGTTTAGACTAATACTTGACCCAAGGGTGAAACTTGACAGTGTAAAACATCACGTTTTTCCACGCAACAGTTGACGCCGTACGAGAACGCAACAGAAAGCATCCACAATTTAGAAAATTGAAACCGACCAACTTAACAAAGTATCCATTGTCCAATCTATAGAAAATTGACAACACAGTCGACGATTTACCCTGTACACTTTCAATCTCATGCCCGAGCAAAAATTTGTCGAAACACGAATAAAACAATAACAGTATAACACGCGAGATCATAATTTCTCCGCATAAACGACGGGCCAAGTTCCGAGATGAAAGGTACGAAACGCTTTGGGCCCGGAGAAAGTTAATATTTAAAAAGGCCCCAAAAGGTATCCGGCTAGTTTTGCGACCGTTTTTAACAAGGTGTGCTCAGGTGGCAGAGCGTGAACACAGGGGTTAAATAACGAGTCGCGTTTAGGCTGTGTCGTGCGAGTTGGCTGTGGCCACGGTGGAAAAACCGGAAACAGTGTTGGTACATGTACACCGAGAAAGTGACCCTAGAGAGACACAAGGTTTAGGGTAGGACGCAGCTCGCAGGAGCAGTAATATCGATCGATCCGTTGAGTTCGAGGCTCGACAGGGTCGACTGGGGGTGCTGCAAGTAGAAAAGCTCTTCCATAAGCAGGCAGGCAGGCTGGCTGGCTGGCTGGCTGCCCGGGCACGGATCGTTTCCACTGTCTGTACGTCCGTCCGTCCGTCTCATCTCGTTTCGTCACGTCACACATCTCTCGTCTCGTCTCGTCCCGTCTCGTCCCGTCTCTCGTCCCGCCTCGTCGCTGGCGTCTGTTCCTCTCTGTCCCTCCGGTTCTCGGCTCCGATCATCGATGCTTCTCCATCGGCACAGCTCGGCGGGATTTCGGATTGTGTGCGACAACGACGACGACGACGGGACACGGTAATCCTGATTCCAACGGTGTGCTAACTCGTGCCGGACCCGCTCTCTCTCTTTCTCTCTTTCTCTCTCTCTCTCTCTCTCTCTCTCTCTCTCTCCGCCACGTCCGCCACGCGTCCGTATAGTCCGTGGCTGTGACCCTGAAAACCAGCAGTGACAGTGCGTGCTCTGACCTTGGCACGCCGTTCACCAAGTTCTCCAATGGCAGCGCGAGCAGCGGTACCAGCCACAGCTGATCGACCACCGGCCAAGCCGAATTCCCGTCGACGACGTGCTGCCCGATTGCGTCACGAGGAATAATCAGGTGCGTGGTCATGGTGCGATCCTCCTTTCGAGGGCTGACTGCCGTCCGGGACGTTCGCGGCGCGGCGGTTGAACGACATTGTCGGTACGTCGGTTACGTAATGGCTCGGACACGTCGGCGAGCGAGGCCCGAAAATTCCGTTTCGCGATCGTCCAGGTAAATCCGAAAGCCTCGTACGCGCGTCGATTCTGTCCGCTGGTTGCCAGCGCGATGGTCCGCGCCTTTAACGTGCATAGATTCTCGTGTCCTTGACGACTCGCGATCGTTAGATTTCCGTTCCGACACGGAACGAACGATTCCCAGCGATCGCTGCGGAACAGACGATCGGGTTCGATGCGAGGTTCGCGTTCGGATTTCGAGGAGAACAGATGTTGCGACGCCGAGGAGAGTTTGACAGAGCACGGGAAACGACGAAGTGCGTTGTACAGTGAATCGGAGAGGCTTGGATCGCTACGACGCTTCCGCGTTTACGAATCTCGTGCTTTTTCGAAGACTCTGCCAGCCTTGGTTCGACGGGGCAGACAGCTTCGGCGCGAATTAATTCCGCTCGCGCGGATGAATTCTCGCCCGGGTGTGCGAGGATTATGTCACGCGCCTTTTCCTTTTTTTTTGTTGCCCGAATGTTTGCCCGGCGAGCGATTCGTCCATGGCCGATTTCTCCGGACCGCGACGAATTTGCATTCGTCCTCCCCCGTCCCGCTGTCGGCGCCCACGGTCGTTTCTGTTTATTCCGCGGAACGGTCTCGTGATGCAACCTCACTCGACGATGCTCGTGAACGTGGTGTAGTAGGGGTTGGAAATTTCACGTGGGTCTCTCGGTGCGGGTTACACTGACACGGTTTTCGCGGGGACACGCAGCACGGCCGGGTCCGTCCGGGTTTACGTAAGACCGTAAAGGGTGTCGGGTGCGCGTACAGCGACCAGTGAACCGCTGTCACGGTCGGTCGGCTGACATTTAAACGGTTGACTTTGCCGCGAAGGGTGAAGCGAGACTGGTACACTCTCCGCCACACCGATTTCCTATTATTATCCGAACTGTTAACAACGACTCGCGCCGTCACGGAAAGTAGGTGGCGGCCGATCCGGCGGTTTATAAATAAAAATTGTTTGGGGGCGAGCGCGAGAGCGCGTGGGCGAGATAGTTGTTTGAAAACACGATCCGACGCGCGAATAATGTCCCCGGGGCTGAACAAAGGGGCCCGGCGAATTGCTTTCCGCGGAGTCGATTAAAAATAATGAGATATAAAAGTTCGCGCAGCGAGGGGGCGCGCACCAAACCCTCCGCCGCGGGAAGACGAAAGCCTGCTACGGACAAGGTCAACAGCTGACGGTTAACGTTAACCATCCCCGATATGTCCTCACCGACGGATTCTAATCACGATCGATGCGCTCGTTACTTTCTCCCGCCGCCGCGCGCCGTTCAATTTATCGGGATCCTCTCCCGGCGAAGTGTGCCCATCCGCGCTCGAGTGCGCGTACCCAGCCGCCGATCTTTATCCGGGCCTCCGATTAATCTTAATTGCGCCGTTCTTTTCCCGTGCCGAAGATCGGCTTGTGCTCGACGATTGTAACCGCCCGCGCGTTCTCGCCCGACCCCGAATTATATCCTCCTCGAGCCGAGGATCGCCGCGAGTGGAACGTTCCAAGTCGATCCGGCGTCCTCCTCGATTCGAAGCCGACCCTGGATTAGGTCTTCGGAACCGTATTCCTCGGCGGTTTCACTCTTTCTCTCTCTCTCGACGACGACTCGGCCTCGGAAATGGGACGTTTCGGTTGAATTGTTTCGGATCGCGTCTATTTCTGAACGCTGAAAATCACGAGTGAACTACGGAAGTGCTGAACTACGCAGACTTCGTGAGCGAATTCGTGTTTCCATGCTCGAGTTTACGGAAACAGTGAAATTACTTCCGCTTAATTCTGGCAGAAATAACACGGACGTATAGTTAATTGTTATCTATGTAGACTGATTGTTAAATAATTTGATTATTAAGTGCAGTCGAGCCGAAATAGTTACGAAATGTGCATTTCATTTTTCGCCGTATTTGCGAGAACACTTTGTGGATAGTTGAATGAAATATTTCAGTAATAATGAGGAGTACATAAATCACATAAATCACAGTGTATAGCGTTTCGTAATTATTATTGGAAACTATTCTATTTTATATAAAAGAAGACAATCTCAAAAGCTCGCACCTCGCACCATACTTTTAACTTTCAATCGTTTTGAAGCTTTCAAGAGTTTTTGAGCAATTCCACTGTTAAACGTAACACTGCTGAACATCGTTCGATAACATTAATTATACTGTTCAACTAATTAATTATACTGTTCGACAGTGTACCCAGTGTCACGTTTGTCTGACCAAGCCAAACCCATTCTATTTCAAGATCCACCAAACGCACGTTACATTTGTACATAATTATTGAACCGCAGATCTTTACTCGTTAATGGGTAAGTGTACATTCTCAGAGATTAATCGATTTTTTATTTTTATTATACGCATTTTTCTGACTGATAACAAAAATCCCTTTCCTATTTCGATTTCTACAAAATAAGTTACAAAAATAGAAATTTGCATAAAGATACAAGATAATTATTCTATATATTATACGGATGCATCTCGTTACAATTAGTCAAAATAATTAACTGTCATCGCTCTCGTGACATGTTTCAGTTTAATGCCCAACTATCGCGCAAGTAGAATACGATTGCACAAGTCAGACACACGAGAATTCTACTTCGGTACTTTCAGACTTCTTGACGATTAACCCTTCGCACTCGAAGCTATTTTAACTGTAAATATAAAATCATCTTTCTCACTTATAGTATTTTTATTTTATACGATAAAATGCATTTTATGCACACGAAATTGACTCTTGGGACACGCGCAACGGTTACACTCTTAACAATTTTCTAAATCTAAACTTTGTTAACACAAAAATTATCTTAGAACGTGATGTAACAAATTTGAGTGGTGCCTCTGAGTCACCACTCGAGTGCAAAGTGTCGACAAAATCGATTAACAATATACAGAAACCGTGAATTCTTTGCATTTATTTTGAAAGGCATTAGAAGAATGTAAGAATATTATCAAATCGAGTCCGACTTATTAAAAAAAAAAAGAAAAAAACCAATACATTTAANTAACACAATTTTCATACATTTAATAATATTTATTGTAGAATATACTTTCCATCGTTACTTATGACTTCTCAAAGCGTAATACTCATTGGCATATATGATCTATACGGCGTTTCGCCTAAAACGGGTCACCGATTATATTCTACAGCTGCAATACTACNAAGTTACAAAAATAGAAATTTGCATAAAGATACAAGATAATTATTCTATATATTATACGGATGCATCTCGTTACAATTAGTCAAAATAATTAACTGTCATCGCTCTCGTGACATGTTTCAGTTTAATGCCCAACTATCGCGCAAGTAGAATACGATTGCACAAGTCAGACACACGAGAATTCTACTTCGGTACTTTCAGACTTCTTGACGATTAACCCTTCGCACTCGAAGCTATTTTAACTGTAAATATAAAATCATCTTTCTCACTTATAGTATTTTTATTTTATACGATAAAATGCATTTTATGCACACGAAATTGACTCTTGGGACACGCGCAACGGTTACACTCTTAACAATTTTCTAAATCTAAACTTTGTTAACACAAAAATTATCTTAGAACGTGATGTAACAAATTTGAGTGGTGCCTCTGAGTCACCACTCGAGTGCAAAGTGTCGACAAAATCGATTAACAATATACAGAAACCGTGAATTCTTTGCATTTATTTTGAAAGGCATTAGAAGAATGTAAGAATATTATCAAATCGAGTCCGACTTATTAAAAAAAAAAAGAAAAAAACCAATACATTTAACTACCGTTTCTCACAAAACAATTTTCACATCGTACTAAGATCGACGGTTCAATAATATGTAACGCGCGGTCTTTAAAATCCGTTGCAATGGTAGACAATAAGCGTTACGGACGATCTCGGGATTAACAATCGTTCGACGGTGTTCCGCGTCGTGCGAACGGTCAAGGAAGATGTTAATACCGGGAGCACTTAATTATCCGGGAATATGGGGTATTTCCATGGGATCGAGGCTATCGCCGGTCGTGTTCCGCAATTAACGCGGAGAAAAGGGAATGATGGAAATAGGGGGCGGGGTAGAAATACGGCGTGACCTGGACTGTCAGCTACAAAGCGGGGGAGCATTGGAAGGAGTAACTACGTTATTGCGTGGCCATGTATCTGGTGTGAACTTGATAACAGCAATTAGGACGTGAATAGTTATTGTTTAGCGGCGCGACCATTTCGTAAGCGTCCGAATGCTGGTAGGCCTCGAATCGTCTGGAACGTTAGTTCCGACGAACTATTCGCCGCGAAGAGAACTTTTGCCTCGGTATAAAGGAACCTTGGGCCTCGAAGCGACCGAAAAGTCAATAGGAGAGCACCTTTTGTCCGTGTCGGGTAGACTTTAAGGTTCGGTTCGCCGACGAATCCAAGGAACCCACGAGGGAACGGGTCTTTATCTCGTCGCGTGTTATTTCTAGAAGAGAGACAGGCGAACGAGACAGTTCGAAGAATGATCGTCGAGAGAAAGTGATCGCGCCGCGAAATAGTGGAAATCGATGATAGCGTAGCTCGCGCGGTTCGACAGCGGTTTCAAATAAACAATGTACGCTAGCTGTTCACCGATAAATGTGCCAGTACGATATAGCATACGTTCGCAGAGCATGAAGAGAAGAAGACTCGACTGACTTCGCAGATACGTTCGGTGATAGCGCGAAGGATGGAGGAGTCCTCGTCTAGGATTCGTCACTACCTAGATTGCTGGGACGTGAGTATTCGAAAAATTAACTAACCCGTAACGCATGCGCGAATCATCGTGGACGGTTCATTTTGATCATTGCGACCGGACCAATCGAGTAATTTTTTTTCAACAACGAAGTTGCTTGCTCGGATCGAATATCGTTCGAACTTGTAGGATGTAACGAAGTCGAAGCAACAATCGCGACGACGAACTTCGGTTTCGGTCTCATTAGCTAAATTACCGAGCTGTTTCGGAAAGTTGTCCCGTTCTTTCGCGAGAAAATCGAAGACGATTTTTTAATGCTTAGAATCACCGACGCATCGTTCCGCGTAACTTTATCACACTTTTCTGGCAGCTTTGATATCTTGTGCTCGCAGAAGTCCTGTTCTTTTTTTTCTTGGTAAAATACTGTGTCGAGTGCTTTTCAAACAGCCTTGCAGAACGGAATTCTTTCGATGAACGAAACAACTTTCCGAACAACCCAATACTTCGACTCCGTGGAATTTTCTGGGTGGTTCGGCGGTCAACGAGTTAATCGCCTGTCGTTTTCCTTTCCTTTTGCCTCGAGAACGTTATCACTATTTGTACACGTTTATTTCATTTCATCGATGATCGAATTAATCGCATTAATCTCGTGCACGAATTTTTCGTTGGACATCTTCAAAGTTGGTAAACACTTACTGTGAATTAAAAAACTTACTGCGACTTTTCAGCCAAAGTCTAGACAACACAACACGCACACACGCACACACAGCGTTGCTAAAAACTCGATCTTCTCTGTCATACTATTGTTCTAATTCAAGTAAAAAAGGTTTCACACTCCTCGCTTTGAAGGCCTATCATCGATATAAAAGTATCCTCTCGAGTATTTGAAACAGGGAAACCGTGGCTCGGAATGAACGGCTGTTTAAAAAGCTTTCGATTTAGCGTAAGTTATGTTAATTGCACGTAGCCGAGTGCGCACTTTCGGTGAGCGCGCGGTGCTTTTTGCCGGAGCGTTCATTCAGAAGGATGCCAACCACTTCGCGGGGCGAGGCTTCGTACTACGCAATACTTAAACCGCCGTGTGAACCGCCTATTGTTCTCCGGTTCATCATTTCGCTCTGTTCAAAATTGCATCGTTTCACAGCCACCCGCAACATCGCCGTTGAAGAAACCTCAGTTTCATTCTCGCGTTTCATCTTTTCATTTGTAACGTCGCCCTGGCAGAATGGGATCGATCAACGACCCTGTAAATAATTAAACAAGCGGAAAGAAGTAACATTTGGTCGAGCGAAAAGCAAATATTAAATGTTGAAATTGTGTTTCGCTATTTAAAAACTGTCGTTCTATAGTCATTTTATTGCACATTTTCGAAAAAGTCATCGTCGAACGATGAATCTAAGCAAATTGCCATTTTCGTGCGTGATTTTACAAAAATTAGAATCAAAGGAAAATTTTCTTCGACTAAAAAATTACTTGGTAAAAAGAAAATACAAATGCTATTAGATCTTACTAATTTATACGGTTTCTTGTACACGGAATATCAGAGAATTGCTTTTATAATTGCTTGTATTACGCATTTTCGAAAAAGTTATCGTCGAACGATGAATCTTTAAGCAGATTGCCATTTTCGTGTGTCATTTTACAAAAATTAGAATCAAAGGAAAATTTTCTTCGACTAAAAAATTATTCGGTAAAAAGAAAATAAAAATGCTATTAGATCTTGTTAATTTATTTGGTTTCTTGCCCACGAAATATCCGAGAATTGCTTTTATAATTGCTCGTATTACACATTTTCGAAAAAGTTATCGTCGAACGATGAATCTTCAAGTAAATTGCCATTTTCGTGCGTGATTTTACAAAAATTAGAATCAAAGGTTAAATTTTCTTCGACTAAAAAATTACTCGATAAAAAGAACATAAAAATGCTATTAGATCTTGTTAATCTATACGATTTTATAAACTGAGAATTGCTTTTATAAACTTAGAGGGAAATACGTAATAAAATTCGAGGGGAGGGGGAAGAGGATGTAATTCTCGTAGAAATATTCCGCACATGGCAAAACATTGAATTGCATCGGTCGCTCGGTATGCGATGTAATATTCTCCGGGTGCAATGTCGGTTCACCGTCGTTCGAGATTCGTGTTTGAAATATTCAGCTTTGTAAGCCGATACAATCGACGCGATATTCTCCGGAGCGACAGATTTCCGGGTGGTCGATCGATGGATAAGCGCGGCCCGGCCAGAATCCATCTCGAAAATGAGATTTGCTTGAACGTACACCTCGGGCTTTAATCGATTCGCAGCAACTGAATGCTCGCTAGCGCCAAGGCGAACCCCGAAGAAATCGCCGCGGGAACTTGAGAAATGCACGCGACGATAGCTATACGACCTTAATGCGAACGTCTATTACGCGGCGGAGACAAACAAACGGTTGCTGAAAATCTTTCAGAGAGGGTCCTTCTTCGCGAATTAATTTCTCGCCGGTTCGCCATGGCTCGTTGCTTCCTCTCGCGATCGCGAAGAAAAGCATTCTGCTGAACTCGAACTTTCATCTTTGTTCGGGTTGCCTAGAGAGAGGTGAGCATTCTCGGTATTGCGAAACGATGAAACAATGGTAATCAACTTCGAAAAGCGTCTAATTAACACTAGAACTGCTCGACGATCAAAATCACGGGCTTCTCATTTTTCTTTTTTCCCTTTACAATTCCTAATGTTACATATGTTATATATACATATGTAATATATAATATTAGGTCTACCGGAAAGTTCTGTCCGTTTTTTAATTGAAATATAACACAATTTTCATACATTTAATAATATTTATTGTAGAATATACTTTCCATCGTTACTTATGACTTCTCAAAGCGTAATACTCATTGGCATATATGATCTATACGGCGTTTCGCCTAAAACGGGTCACCGATTATATTCTACAGCTGCAATACTACCAGGTTATTATACATATACACAGGTTGGTCCGCTAAGAGTTAGCTCTTGAATATTTCTGTTATTGTTGGAAACGCGGAGGAACTTTGTGACGTAAATATTTCAGCATAGAGAGGTCTATAACACGATGGTAACGATTCTCTTGCAGCTGGAGACGTTTCGAAGAATTTAAGAGCACCTTCATCTTTTTAGAACCACGCAGCTTCGTTGACTGAAATACTTCTATCAATAAAGTTGCTTTATATCTCCAAAAATAAGAGAAATGTTCAAGAGCTAATTCTTTCTAAACTACCCTGTATATATTAGGTCTACCGGAAAGTTCTGTCCGTTTTT